ACAATGTCCATGTGCTTACAGTATGTTTTTAGTTTTAGTGTTTTGAGTTTTGATGGCCTTAAACTCATCATAACCCTGCCTCAGCCTCCAGAGTGCTGAGATTCCAGATGTGAACCACCACATCCTGGCTTTTTTGCCAGAATAATTTTTGTTGGCTCGCAATGTCCTTATTTACCACTCATTCATTTTTCCCTAAGGCCTGAACTTTGCTTTTGAAAATGACTGGAACTTCTGAAGAAGTGGTGACTACATTATTCTGTTTATTTATTTATTTGCTTATTTACTTACTTACTTGTCTTTTTGAGGCAGGGTCTCCCTGCAGCCCCAGCTGGCCTGGACTCACTATGTAGACCAGGCTGGCCTCAGTCTCACAGAGCTCTGCCTGCCTCTGCCTCCAGAGTGCCTGAATTAAATCTGTGTGCTACCATGGCCAGCTTGTTTATTTTTACAGTACTAAGGAGCCTAGAGCCGCACACATGCTAGGTAAGAGCTCTGCTATGGAGGTATATCCCCAGCCCTCTTCATTTTTTTGAGACTGCTAAGCTGCTCAGGTTGGCCTTGAACTTTCTCTACAGCTCAGGCAGATCTTGAATTCGCAACCCTTTTGCGTCAGTATTGAAGATGCTGGGGTTCTTGGCCTGTGACACCAAGTCTGGGTACAATTCATTTCTTAAATGAGAGCTTTGGTATCTTTGGGCTTTTTGAGACCGTCTCCCTATGATCCCAGGCTGCGCTGGATCTTGAGATCCTCCTGCGTGTGCCTCCTAAACACTGGGATTACACGTGTGTATCACCACGACCGGCTTTGGCTTTATCCACGAAAACCTTTCTTCAATGTGACTTTAAGTCGCTGGACTTTACCAAGGCGTTTGAATTCAAAGTACGTTCAGTGACAAGCAGGGAAACGAGCAATGGAGACTTCCACGGCCCTATACAATGAGATTTTTATCCTCCACTCACAAGGATAGCAGAGGCACACGCGAGTTTACTCACTCAGCGCCTTCCCTTCCCCCTCACCCACACTGTCAATCACCTCTGCTCGGTCTGGATAGGACCAAAAACTCACACAGGAAGACTCAGCACTACCCAAGGCGCTAGCAAATGTAGCCACTTAGCTCCAGTGCGGGTAGACTGAGGAGCAAGACCTTCCTGGGCGGGGCTTAGGAAATAGCGCTCGCGGATTGGCTATCCCCAAAGTCGGCGGTCAGTTCTGCCCCCATCGTACGCTCACCGAGCATGCGTAGCGTGAGAGCGCGCGAAATTCAAGCAGCAGTGGCTATTTTCGGAATACGTTTCGTACTACCATGGAGGTTTCCCATGGTTTGGCGGAAATGGAGACTTTGAACCCTCATCAGGCTGCGAGTTATCTGAGGTATGCCGGAACCTCCGGGCGAGTCTAATTCATAGTCCCTGGCCCGGGTCTGGGATGAGATGGCTCCCACATTGCCCTAGGAACCGACTCTGGGTATCGACAAGATTTCGAACTTGGGGAACCCCGGATGCCCTCCCACTTAGGCCAGATAACTCTTCAGTATGAGCCAGAATTTCAACTAACTAAAAAATATAAATAAATATAAAATCAAATAAATATAAATCAAGCAATCAACTAACTAATCAAACTCTTCTTGAGTTCCAGGCCAACCATCAGGCCCGGGCGGAAGAGAGCAGTAGAAATGGCCCCAATGTTCATAATCTGGTAGTGAAAACAGACCCGAGAAAGAAATACTATAGATAGTGTTTGATAATTGCTGCAGGTTGTTTAATGTGCAGCCCAGAGTGTTGACATAAAGAGTGGCTGACTATAAGGGTCGGTGAGCAAAGGGAAGACTTCGCCAGAGAAGGAACAGTTAAGCTATGAGTATGAATAAGCATTCTCCAGATGGCTGAGTGTGGGGAGGGGCATAGTAATGTGGGGATAAGCATTTATTTTTTTTTCTTTTGGTCTTTCTGAACCAGGGTCTCCCTGTAGCCCCAGCTGACCTGAAACTCACTATGTAGAACCCACAGAGATCGCTGCCTGCCTCTGTCTCCGGAGTGCTGGGACTAAAGTCCTGTGCCCCCATGCCTGGTTATAGTTTTAATTTTTATCTCCCTGCTCATTAGTGTTTATTTTCCACATCATTTTGTGTGCTTGTTTGCCATTTGTATATTTTGTTCCCCAACAGAGAAATGTCTGTATAAGTCCTTTGATTGTATTTTATATTAGTTGACTTGTAGGGGTTTTTGTTTTTGTTTTGCTGTTATGAGACAGATCTTTGCTACATTTGCTCAGATTGCTCTCAGACTCTCCCAGTATCCAGAGTGCTGAGATCACAGGCATGCAGCACCATGGCCCACTGAATTCTGTCAGTGGTGGCAGTAGACACAGCCTCACACAGCCATCAGCAACTCCAGGCATTCCTCCTGAGGGACCCTCCTCTCTGGTAAAGCTGGAAACAAAGAATTTCAAGGCAAGCCAGAGTGAAACAAAGTTAGTGAGTAAATATTTAGACCTGGAGTCATATAAGAAAAGGACAGCACATAGCCTCAGGACAGGAGTGTGGGCAGCCCGAGCAAGCTGGACCTAGGTGTCTCCATGGTGACCTGTATTTGTACTCCCCTACTTAAATTTCTCAAATCATGTCATTTCCAACAAAGTTTAAAGGTTAAACAAAGCTTAACATTTAAAGTTTAAGAAATTAAGTAAAAATATATGAGTTGCTTTACTTATTTTTCTTGTATATGGAATTCTAAGGTGGTTTTATGAGGTGTGTTTAGATTTAGGGATGAAAGGCATGCTAATATGGTAAAACTAAGGTTACAAACATTCTGGTCTTAGGTATGCATGGTTCATTTCTTACCTTTCAACATCCTTGTTTGAAATATCTGTAGAAAAACACATTCTCTCTATAGGCAGTTTTGGCTTTATCAATTGTGTTAAAGTTTCTTGACTCTTAGACAGAAAGGGCTGACTAGATCTTAGGGTGAAGGACTGCTTTCTCTTCCCATGTCCCCTTAATTTTTCCTGTCTTCCTGTCCTGCCTCATTTTTTTTGGTGATGGTGGGGGGGACATACAGGGTGTCACTATGTAGCCCTGGCTGGCCTGGACTTAAACTTTGTAGACCAGGCTGGCCTCTGCCTCCCAAGTGCTGGGATTAAAGGTATGTACCATGCCTCAGTTCCTTGTATCTGAATATTAACTCATCAGATTTGCAAATATTTTCTCCAATTGTAGGGGTCGTCTTTTATCTTTAAAATTTTTTAAATTACACTTATTTGTGTGTATGTTTGTAGATGTGTGTACCATAGCATGAGTGTGGAGGCCAGAGGACAACTTGTGGAACTTGTGGGGAGTCAGTTTTCTCTTTCCACTATATGGATTTTGGGGCTTGAAATCACCTTGTCAGGCTTGGCAGCAAGTACCTTTACCCACTGAGCCATCTCATTAGCTTGCCTTTTTTCTCTTTATAAAAAATTAGCTGGACATGGTGGAGCACACCTTAATTCCAGTACTCAGGAGGCAGAGGCAGGTGGATCTCTGTAGTTCAAGGCTAGCCTGGTCTACATAGTGAGTTCCAGGCCAGCTGGGGCTACAAAAAAGGACCCAAAAATGATTGTGTAGGTTGTCTTTTTACTCTGTTAAGTCACTTAATATACAGAAGATTTTATTTACTTTTTATTCTTGCATTTATTTAAGTTACAAAGCAGCCTGGTTTCCTAAAACAATTAAAATAGTAGATTATTTGTAGGGCCTAGGACCACCACCCCCCAGGATACTCACCCCCCACTGGAGTAGGCCAGTGAAAGGAAGCCCTTTATTCTGCAGGCATCAGTAAGGCCAGGAATAAAGGACTTCTTGCCAGGCATGGTGACACACACCATTTGTACCAGCTTTTGGGAGGCAGAAGCAGGTAGATCGCTCTGAGTTCCAGGCCAGCCTGGTCTATATAGGAAGACCCTGTCTCAGACAAGCAAACAGCAAAAAAGGATTTTTCTGTAAGTGAAGTTGTCAGGATCAGAAATATGGAGATATGGACTCCCATAATTTTTTTGTTTTTGTTGTTTCTGAGACACAGTCTCCCTGTAGCCCCAGTTCTTACCTGGAACTTGTTAGGTAGACTGAGCTGACTTTGAACTCACTGATAGCCTCTTTTGCCCCTGCCTCTTAAGAGCTGAGATTAAAATTAAAGGTGAATGCCACCATGCCTGGCTCCTGGTTTTTTTTTTAATACTTTATTTTTTTATTATTTTTATTTTATGTGTATGAGTGTATTGCCTGCATGTATGTGACTGCACTCATGTCGTGCAATACCATGGAGGTCAGAAGAGGGCGTCGGATTCCCCTGTAACTGGAGTTACGGACAGTTGTGAGCTGCCATGTGGGTGCTGGGAATTGAACCTGGGTCCTCTGCAAGAGTACCCAGTGCTCTTAACCACTGAGTCGCCTCTCCAGCTCCGTGGCTCCTGTTTTTTGTTGTTATTGTTGCTTTGTAGTTAACATATATTATGTGAAAGGGGAACTTGTTGGAGGATTGGATATTGCTAAAGAACTGAAAGACAATGATGAATTGCTGCCTATGCCCAGAGGAGAAAGTTAATGTTGAGTATGGTGCCCAGTTATGCAATAAATATTTAATTACAGTGGAACAGTTCATGATCTGATCTGCAGAAGCGGACTAGGAATAGAAAAATGATTCTTTTTAAAAAATTTTAGGGGCTGGAGAGATGGCTCAGCAGTTAAGAGCACTGACTGCTCTTGCAGAGGACTCAGGTTCAGTTCCCAGCACCCACATGGCAGCTAGCAACCATCTATAACTCCAGTTCCGAGGTTGTCTGACGCCCTCTCCTGGCTTCCACAAGCATTGCATGACACAGGTGCACTAAACATACATACAGGCAAAACACTCATAAGATAAAATTTAAAAATAAAATAAAAATTTTAAGTTACATTTCTTTCTTTGCAGGGGTGGGGTGGGGGTGCGGCAAGCCATGGTGAGCTTGTAGAGATCAGAGGACAACTTGCAGGAGTCCACTCTTTCCTTCTACCATGTATGTGGGTCCCAGGGATGAAATTCAGGTTAGGTTTGGCAGCAAGTGCCTTTATTTTACCCGCTGAGTTGTCTCCTCAGCCTGAAAAATGCTTCTTTTTTTAAAAAAAAATATTTGTTACTTTTATTTTATGTGTATGAGTGTATTGCCTGCATGTGTGTTAAGTGCACCTGTGTCATGTAGTGCCTGCAGAGGTCAGAAGAAGGCAACGGATCCCCTGGAACTGGTGTTATGGACAGTTGTTAGCCACCATGTGGATGCTGGGATTCGAGCCTGGGTCTTCTGCAAGAGCAGCCAGTGATCTCAACCATTGAGCAATCTCTTCAGTCCACTGAAAAATGCTTCTTATCCAGTTAGACTTTGTGTTTTTTACAAGATTGTACTACATAAATGTATGTTACATTTTTCCCACCCAGAGTGGGATGTAATAAATATTTTCAAATTCAATTTTAAAATTAGCATATATTAAGTATACAAAGAAAACGGTTTCATTATGACAGTTCTTTCCAGTCATGTATCTAATATACTTTGATCGTATTCATCCCCCCTCTTGATTGTGTGTGTGCATGTGGGTGTACATGTGTGTGCAGGTGCATGTGTACATTTGTGTGTTTGAATGTGGAGACCTGAAGTCAGTCACTGGTGTTGGAGTTCAGGAGCTGTGCAGCTTGTTTTTTTGTTTCATTTTGAGACGGGATCTCTCACTGGCCTGCTGCTTGCCCATTAGGCTGGGCTGGCTGGCCAGTGAGCCCCAGGTTTTGCCTATCACCACCTCCCAGTACTGGGCTTAACAAGCATGTCCACCAAGTCCCCCCCCACACCTTTTTACTGTGGGTTCTGGGCATCAAGCTTAGGTTCTCAGTCTTGTGCAGCAAGGACTTTACTGACTGAGCTATCTCCCCAGTTCCCCATTTACCTCCTTTTTTGAGAAACAGGCTCACTATGTAGCTCCAGCTGGCCCAGAACTCGTTATGTAGACCAGGCTGGCCTCAAACTCACAGAGTTCTGCCTGCCTCTGCCTCCCAAGTGCTGGAATTAAAGCTTGTGCCACCATAGCCAGCTCCATTATCCTTTCTTACCCCTCTCCCCACTTTGCACACATTTTCTGTGTGACACATCTTTGCCTTCTGTCTCATACAGTGACTCTGTGTCATTCATGCTGTTGCTTGGCAGTGACCAACCACTACCTCCTTTTGTCTACCTTCTCATTCTGCTCAAGGTGCCCATTTGGAACTCTACCGTGCCTCTATTTTTCTCCCTCTGTCACCCACTGCCTCTCTGACACTCACTCACTCAGTCTGCTCCTCTTTGCTGCCCTTCATGTCTCTGCCATACATTTGCTC